CGGCTTTTTCTGATGAAGGGTCTAGGCCCGAAACGTCAGCCTCTCTGCTCCTGTGATGCTGCTCGGCCGGCTGTGTTCATCCAGCCCTGCACCTTGTTGATAGGAGGGATTGATTGGTTTATTGTCATGTGGACTGAAGTACAGTGAACAGTTTTGTGTACAAGCAGTATAGGCAGATCATATTAAGCAAGGATGTACGGATCAAAATGACTCGGACAGAGGTACAGGTTACATTGCACAGGCCGTGTGCTACATGAGATCAGCATTAGCAAGATCAATCATTATATGGAGGCTAGAGAGCTCACTTATCAGTCTAATAATGGCCGGGAAGAAACTGTTCCTGAACCTGCTCATCCATGTGTTACTTGCTACTTACTTACAGCCAAAGACTTTTTCCTAGGGTGGAGGTAGCTATTACGAGGGTGCATAGTTTTAAAGTGAGTGGAGGTAGATATAGGGGAGATGTAAGAGGTAGGTTCTTTACTCAGAGAGTGGAAGGGGCGTGGAATGCATTGCCGGAGATGGTAGTGGAGTCGGCCTTGTTAGGGGCATTTAAGTGGCTATTAGATAGGCATATGGATGATAGTATAAGGTAGGGGTGGAGGTTAGATATACCTTAGGATTAGGGTAAAAGTTCAGCACAGTGTTGTGGGCCGAAGGGCCTGTGCTGTACTGTTCTATATGTTCAGGCTTCTGTATCTTGGGCCTGACGAAAGAAGTTGTAGGATATCATTACCAGGGTGTGATGGATCATTGACGTTGACAGCCTTTCCACAGCAGCCCACTGGAGAGGATGCAAAAGAGATTTACTAGGATTGTTGCCTAGGCTGGAGAGTTTCAGTAATGAAGACCGATTGGACAACTGGGGTTAACTTGCTTGGAGCAGAAGAGACTGAAAGGGGACGTGATTTCAGATTTATAAATTTCATGTGGGACATAGACAGGGTGGACAAGAAACTTTTTCCCCCTTGATGGAGGATCAGGAGCAGGAGCAAAGACTTAAGGCAAGGAGTGGGAGGTTTAGAGGAGATGTGACAATTTTTTTTCACCCCAGAGGCTGTGGGAATCTGGAACTCACTGCCCCCAAAGGATGGGGGAGGCAGAAAGTCAAAATACAGAAAAGAGATAGAGGGCTTGGCAATATGGTGCAACAAAAACAACCTCTCTCTCAACATCGGCAAAACAAAAGAACTGACCATCGACTTCAGAAAGAAAGGAGGAGAACATGCCCCCATCTACATCAATGGAACTGAGGTTGAGAGAGTGAAGGGCATCAAGTCCCTCAGAATGCCAATAATCAACGACATGTCCTGGACTTCCCACTTAGATGCAACGGTCAAGAAGGCACAACAACACCTCTTCCTCAGGTGGCTCAGGAAATTTGAGATGTCCATAAGATCTCTCTCCAACTTCTGCAGGTGCACCATTGAAAGCATACTGTCTTGGTGCATAATGGCCTGGTATAGCAACTGCTGTGCCCAGGACTGGAAGAAACTACAGAAGGTGGTGTGGACAGCCCAGACCATCACGGAAGCCAACCTTCCACCATTGGACTCTGTACACGGCTCACTGCTGCAGAAAGGCAGCTAACATCGTCAAAGACCCACCGCACCTGAGTAATGACCTCCTACAGCCTGTTCCATCAGGCAGAAGATACAGAAGCCTGAACACCTGCACAAGCAGGTTCAGGAACAGCTTCTTTCTGGCTGTTGAATGGACTCTTTTCTTTTCGTTTTTCTTTGTACATCCTTTGCTTGCTGCGATCTGCCTGTACCGCTCGTAAACAAAGTTTTCACTGTATTTTGGTACATGTGACAATAACTAAATCAGTGAGCCTCAAATTTAAATCACCTGGATGTTAGCCAGGGGTGTAATGGAGCTGAACCAGAAATGGAGTTTTGCCCTAAATCAACTAATACCTCAAACAATACTGCAACAAGCATGAGGGCCTAAATGCCACTCCTCTTCCCCCGTGGTTTGTGTGATCTGAATTTCAGTCTTTTCATAAAGTAGGTGCAGTGCAATCGGGGTTCACTGGAGGGTGCTGTTCAAGTGTGATTGCCTTTAAATTGTTTTAAATGTGGGATGGTGTTGGTGTGTTTGTGGAAATGGGATGGGGGGGTGGGTGGTATTTTGAGGTGGGGAAGGGGTAGTGGGAGGGCAGTGCTGGGAGTTGAGACCAAACCCAGTTCCCAAGGTGATACTCACCCTGATCATGTTGAGTGACACTTTTTTTTTTTTTTTTGCTGCTTTTAAAGAAACCAGGGCTCCTTGCCACATGATGCCAACACAAGATTTCAGAAACGCTCCCTTCGCCCACCTGCTGGTGGCCATGTTCGGAATGGGGTCTTGGGTTGCAGTGAACTCCTTGTGGGTTGAGCTTCCAGTGGTAACGAAGATTCTCCCTGAAGGTGAGTCCCAGAGGGTGAGAGGTACCAGATACTTTACTTTCTAATATCCCTAACGGTTGCTATGGATGTTCAGATTTAGAAGTTTCTTTATTGATTTTCCTGGTTGTCTAAATTAGTTTGTTTGTAAATTCATTCACGGGACAAGGGTGTTACTGGCCAGGCCAGCATTTGTTGCTCATTCCCAGAGAACAGTTAAGAGACAACCACATTGCTGAAGGTCTGGAGTTACATGTAGTCCAGACCAAGTAAGGACAGCAGTTTTCTTCCCTAATAGATACTAGTGAACCAGATGGGTTTTTCCAACAATCAACAATGATTTCATGATTATCATTTGACTCTTGATTCAATAAAATAAAATCTGGAATTCAAATTCCACCATCTGCCATGGTGATATTCAAACCGGGGTCCTCTGAACATTGAGTCTCGATTGATAGTCTAGCAATAATACCTCTAGGCCATTGCCAACCTTAAACAGACCCTGGGCAGTGTAGATGTGTGGGTAACGGCTTAAGATATACTACTGCAAACTTTGTTTTAACTCTAAACCAGCAAAAATTGTACACTTCAAATATGTTCACTGTATTATCACAATCTCCACAATGTCTGAATAGTCAGTTGAGAGTGCGAATGAGGTGGCTCTCTAAGTTTCCTCTTAATTTTTTTACTGAAGTGATTTTATGCTGTATACAATGTATGTTGTATTACATACCAATTACTCTGTGTTTTTACATTGATTATGTGGACCTTTTGATCAACCAGCACACACCCCATAGGTGTTGCTTAATAAATGGATTTGCTGTACTACTTGCACTAGTCCCACTTTCCTGCTTTCATTGGCAGGGGAACTGAGTTCAATAGTCACGAGGTTATGCTGCAGCTCTATAAAACCCTGGTTAGACCACACTTGGAATATTGCGTTCAGTTCTGGTCACCTCGTTATAGGAAAGATGTGGAAGCTTTAGAGGGTGCAGAGGAGATTTACCAGGATGCTGCCTGGAGTGGAGGGCAGGTCTTGTGAGGAAAGGTTGAGGGAGCTAGGGCTTTTTACATTGGAGCGAAGAAGGATCAGTGGTGACTTGATAGAGGTTTACAAGATGATGAGCGGCATAGATAGAGTGGATAGTCAAACTTTTTTTCCCAGGACGGAAATGACTGTTATGAGGGGGCATAATTTTAAGGTGATTGGAGAAAGAAATAGGGGAGATGTCAGAGGTAGGTTCTTCACGCAGAGAGTGGTGGACGTGTGGAATGCGCTGCCGGCCGTGGTAGTGGAGTCAGATACATTAAGGACATTCAAGCAACTCTTGGATCGGCACATGGATCATAGTAAAACGGAGGGTATGCAGGGTAGATTGATCTCACAGTAGGATACAGCATTGTGGTCCGAAGGGCCTGTGTTCTATGTTCTTCATTGCTGAAATGTTCCATCCCAGGCAACATCCTGGTGAATCTCTTCTGCACTCCCTCCAGTGCAACCACGTTCTTCCTACAGTGCGGTGACCAGAACTGCACGCAGTACTCCAGCTGCAGCCTCACCAAAGTCCTATATAGCTCCAACAAAAACTCCCCTGCTCTTATGATCTGTGTCTCAAGTGATAAAGGCCAGCATCCTGCCCGCCTATTGTTAAAAACCAGACCCGCCTCCCCCAAAGTATATCACAGGGTCTAAGTTAACCGTTTTATTTTAAAGCAAGTGTAAGGCGTTGTGTTCCAGATATGAGTCGCTTGGTCCATGACTAAGCTTTAATCAAAACACACTTTATTCTTGCAATGCATTTAAGATGCACCAAAACAAAGAATCAGCATAACCTTACTCTATTGATAAATGAACAAGCCAATATTATGTAAGCAATAATCCTCAACTGTTCCAATAAACAGAGCACCCCATAAATACCCTTTGCATTTGTTGCCAATGCACGAAACAATTATCTATTATTCTTGCGTGCTGTGTCTCTTCAGTCCAGTAGAAAGAAATACTGAAATAAATAATCTGTCCCTTCTGGTTTCTAAGAGGAAATCTCTCCAAGTCTTCAATCTGGCAACAGAAAGGACTCTAGCTGTCCACTGCAGCAGCTAACTACCAAAGAAACCAACTGAAAGTAAAACTAAAGTCATCTGGAACACAGACAGAAGTTGCTAGAAAAGCTCAGCAGGTCTGGCAGCATCTGTGTGAATAAAAAATCAGAACTGAGGAAGGGTCACTGGACCCGAAACATTAACTCTAACTCTGCTTTTTTTTCTTGACAGATGCTGCCAGGCCTGCTGAGCTTTTCCAGCAACTTCTATTTTTGTTCCTGATTTACAGCATCCACAGTTCTTTCGGTTTCCAAAGTCCTCTGGATCTGTGAGTCTGACCTCACCCACTCATGGTTCTTTTGTCTTGTTCTGGAAAAAAAACATCCAGGGAGAAACCCAAAAACTGCCTGCCAAGAGGAAACATCTCTGTACCACTGTGACAAACCCCTCTGCAAGAAAAACAGGACAGCACACAATTGTCTCACTATATACCCTATTAACCTGTCCTGCCATCTTCAGGGATCTGTGGACAAGCACTCCGAGATCCCTCTGAGCTTCTCTAGTGTCTTGTCATTCATGGAGTACTCCCTTGTTTCTTTTAAAGTGCGACACCTCACATTTTATCAGGGTTAAATTTATCAGGGACCAATCTGTTTGTATCCTCCTGTAACCTAACACCTTCAGCATTGTCAATCACCAGGCCAATCTTTGGGTCATTTGCAAATTTATCATTCTGCAGCCACCCCACCGCCCACACCCTTCCTTTCCAGCATTCCCATTCTCATCTAATCATTTAGGAATATCACAAACAATAAGAGATCCAGCATTTGTGGTACCAGACTATTCGGAAGGACAGACAGGGAGGTGGTGTAGCTCTGATATTCAAGGACGACATCAGGGCAGTGCTGAGATGATATAGGTTCTATGGAGAATGAGGTTGAATCCATTTGGGTGGAAATTAGAATTTCTAAGAGGAAAAAGTCACTGATAGGCGTAGGCTATAGGCCACCAAATAATAACATCACATTGGGGCGGGCAATAAACAAAAATAACTAATGTCTGTAAAAATGGTACGGCAATTATCATGGGGGATTTTAATCTACATGTAGATTGGTCGAACCAGCTTGGTCAGGGTAGCCTTGAGGAGGAGTTCACTGAGTGTATCCATGATAGTTTTCTTGAACAGTATGTAATGGAACCGACAAGGAAGCAAGCTATCCTCGATCTGGTCCTGTGTAATGAGACAGGAATAATTAATGACCTCATAGTTAGGGATCCTCTTGGAAGGAGTGATCACAGTATGGTTGAATTTAGAATACAGATGGAGAGTGTGAAGATAAATCCAATACCAGGGTCCTGTGCTTGAACAAGGGGAACTACAATAGAATGAGGGAGGACTTGGCTAAAGTAGACTGGAAACAAAGATTTTATGGTGGGACAGTTGACGAGCAGTGGAGGACTTTCAAAGCAATTTTTCAAAGTGCTCAGCAAAAGTATATTCCAATGAAAAGGAAGGACTGTAAGAAAAGGGGTAATCTGCCATGGGTGTCTAAAGAAATAAGGGAGGCTATGAAATTGAAGGAGAAGGCATACAAAGTGGCCAAAAACAGCATGAAACTAAAAGATTGGGAAAACTTTAAAGGTCAACAGAAAGCCACAAAAAGAGCTATAAAGAAAAGTAAGATAGAACATGAGAAAAAAACTTGCACAGAATATAAAGACAGATAGCAAAAGTTTCTATAAATATATAAAATGAAAGAGTTGGCCCTTTAGAGGATGAGAAGGGGAATTTAGTTATGGGATATGATGAAATGGCCGAGGCATTGAACAGGTATTTTATATCGGTCTTCACGTGGAGGACACTAATAACATGCCAGTAATTGACAAAGAGACGAAGGTAGGTGAGGACCTGGAAACGATCATAATTACGGAAGAGGTAGTGTTGGGCAAGCTAATGGAGCTAAGGATTGATAAGTCTCCTGGCCCTGATGGAATGCATCCCAGGGTACTAAAAGAGATGGCGGGAGAAATAGCAGGTGCACTGGCAGTAATTTTCCAAAATTTGCTGGACTCTGGGGCAGTCTCAGCAGATTGGAAAACAGCAAATGTGATGCCACTGTTTAAAAAGGGAAGTAGACAAAAGATGGAGAATTATAGACCGGTTAGCTTAACCTCTGTAGTGGGGAAGATGCTTGAGTCTATTATCAAGGAAGAAATAGCAAGGCATCTTGATAGAAATTGTTCCGTTGGGTAGATGCAGCATGGGTTCATGAAGGGCAGGTCATGCTTGACAAATCTTTTGGAATTCTATGAAGACATTACGAGCGAGGTGGATAATGGGGACCCAGTGGATGTGGTGTCCCTAGATTTCCAAAAGGCCTTCGACAAGGTGCTGCACAAGAGGCTCCTGCATAAGATAAGGATGCATGGCTTTAAGGGTAAAGTATTAGAATGGATAGAAGATTGGTTGACTAACAAGAAGCAAAGAGTGGGAATAAATGAGTGCTATTCTAGCTGGCAGTCAGTGACTAGTGGTTTGCCTCCGGGATCGGTGTTGGGACCGCAATTATTTACAATTTATATGGATGATTTGGAGTTGGGGACCATGTGTAGGGTGTCAAAGTTTGCAGATGACACTAAGATGAGTGGCAGAGCAAAGTGTGCAGAGGACTGAAACTTTGCAGAGGAACATGGATACATTGAGTGAGTGGGCAAAGGTGTGGCAGATGAAATACAATGTAAAGAAATGTGAAGTCGTACATTTTGGTAGGAGTAATAGTAAAAACCATTATTACTTGAATGGTTAAAAAGTTGCAGCATGCTGCTATGCAGAGGGACCTGGGTGTCCTTGTGCATGAATCACAGAAGCTAGGTCTGCAGGTACAAGTAATTAGGAAGGCAAATGGAATTTTGCCCTTCATTGCTAAAGGGATTGAGATTAAAAGCAGAGAGGTTATGTTGCAGCTGTACAAGGTGCTGGTGAGGCCACACCTGGAGTACTATGTGCAGTTTTGGTCTCCTTACTTGAGAAAGGATGTACTGGCACTGGAGGGGGTGCAAAGGAGGTTCATGAGGTTCACTAGGTTGATTCCGGAGTTGAGGGGGTTGGCTTATGAGGAGAGACTGAGTAGATTGGGATTATATTCATTGGAATTCAGAAGATTGAGGGGGGATCTTATAGAAACATATAAAATTATGAAGGGAATAGATAAGATAGAAGTAGAGAGGATGTTTCCACTGGCAGGTGAAGCTAGGACAAGAGGGCATAGCCTCAAGATTAGAGGGAGCAGATTTAGGACTGAATTGAGAAGGAACTTCTTCACCCAGAGGGTTGTTAATCTATGGAATTCCTTGCCCAGTGAAGTAGTTGACGCTACTTCAGTAAATGTTCTTAAAGATAAGGTAGATTTTTTTTTTTTTTTTGAACAATAAAGGAATTGAGGGATACGGTGAGAACACGGGTAAGTGGATCTGAGTCCATGAAAAGATCAGCCATGATCTTATTGAATGGCGGAGCAGGCTCGAAGGGCCGGACAGCCTACTCCTGCTCCTAGTTCTTATGTTCTTACGTACACCATTGCACACTGGGTTCCAGTCTCTCAAACAGCCTCTTACCACCACCTTCTGTCTCCTATCAGTAGGTTGATCTTGCTATGCAACATTTGCAAGTTGCCACCTGTGCCTCCTACTGTTAAGGTGCCTATACTTGGCTGTGAAATGCTTTTGGCGTCCTGACTTAGAGATAGGTGCTAGGAAATTCAAGATCCTTTAAATATCAAAAAAATAGAAGATAAGAGTGGGCCGTCTGACTGACTGCTTGAGTCTGCTCTGCCATTCAATATAATAATATATAGCTAATCATTTTGAGCTCAATATCCAAATCCCCCTTTCTTTGTGGTTTTTTTTTTTTTTTTTTTTTTTTGCTCCTACCACTTCCTTTTCTCCCCCATCCCTTGATCCCTTTTGCCTCGAGCTATATTTACCTCCCTCCTCTCAAACACTGGTTTTTGGCCTCAAACACTTCCTGCGTTAGAGAATTCCCCAGGCCTACCACTGTGAGTGAAAACATTTCTCCTACTGCCTTTGTTTTTCTAAAAGGTTGACCTTTGATTCTTAAACTATGACTCCGAGTTCTGGACCCCCAATTTATAATATTGTTCCGGTGTGATCCTATTAGAATTTTCTGAGATTCTCCCTTCATCTAAACTACAGTGACTGTAATCCTAACCAACTCGCTCAATCTCTCTTCAGACATCGTTCCTGCCATCCCAGGAATCGGTCTGGTAAAATGATAAAACTGGAGGAGATTCTCAATGTTCTTGAGCTTCTGTTTTGGGGCTGTATTAAATGACTTAATGATAATTTTCATGTAATCAGCACAGTTTCACATTTCTGACCACATGACATTTTCTTTGTGCATTTCCTGGAGTGGAAAGCCGAAGCTTTTTGTTTTGTGGACTGCATAGATACTGTTTGTTGTTCTGGCTGAGTAACTCCTTCCTGTATCTGATCAATAAGTTCACAGATAAATAACAAGGAGGACAACTTTAGATTACATGAGGGTATAGGTGGTCTGGATAAAAAGGTGAGGGAATATATGATAAACAATAGGACCCTGGGAAGCACTAAGAATCAGAGGCACCTTGAATGTGTATGTATGCCGGTCCCTTAAGTGTAGATAAAGTGGTTAAGAAGACATGTACATTACCTCCCTTTGCCAGCTGAGGCAAGGACGTAATGCTGGATGTGTATTAAAAATATTGGTTAGGCCACAGCCAGAGCATTCTGCTGCTCTAATCTAGGGATATGATTGCACTGGAAAGGATGCAGAGGAGATTTACCAGGATGTTTTGCCTGGGCTGGAGAGTATTAGTTATGAAGAGAGATTGGGTAGCCTGTAGTTGTTCTCTCTTTAGAGCAGAGGGGACATGATTGAGATGCATAAGACTGAGGGGTGTAGACAGGAAAAAGCTTTTTCCCTTGGAGGTGATCAATGACCAGGGGGCATAGATTTACTGTTAGGGGCAGAAGGTTTAGAGGGAATGTGAGGAAATAATTTTGAGTTCTGAAAATCTGGCATTCGCTGCCTGTCAGGGTGGTACAGGCAGAAACCCTCATTACATTGAAGTATTTCAATGTGCACTTGCAATGCCAAGGCATATGAGGCTATGAACCAAATGTTGGAAAATGGGATTAGAATTTTTCTGTTTTTTTTTTTTGACCAGCATGCATTCAAGACTGTAGACCTCTGTGACTATATCCACTGATGTTAGTCCAGTTCTATTTATCTCTAAATTGCAGAGCACTGAAAGAAACAATTTGACCGGTCGTGCTTGTGCAGTCTCGTGTTGCACAGCCAGTTCTCAAGATCTATGTGGACAAAAAGACCTGAACTGATCCTAGGATAATGTTTCCTTGTGGAACAGGAAAATGGTTACTGGGTGACTGTGTTGTTTTTGATTTCTTTTAACAATTGTTGGTAATAGATGAAATTGGAGGCAGTGTGAGTTGTAAATTCTGGCCGCCACTAGGGGGCATAGGTTTATGGTGGGAGGGGAAAAGTTTTTTAAAGCAGATTTGCAAGACTTTTATTTGACACACCGGATGCCAGCTACCTGGAATATGCCACCATGGGAGGTAGAGCAGATATGATAGTAACGTTTAAGAGGCATTTAGACAGAGACATGAACAGGGAGGGACTAGAAGCATTCAGACTGTGTGCAGGTAGGTGGGCTTAGTTTAGACACTTCAGTACTATCCATGATGCTCAAGTGGTCAGCACAAACACAATGGGCCAAAGGGCCTTTTCCTGTGCTGTATTGCTTTATATTCTATGTAATCTAACTGGGTTTTAGTTGGAGACTATTTCAACTTTGGTAACATTTTAACTGGGAGTACCTTTTTAGGGTGAAAGGATCGGACTGGGTGGAATTTTTAAAGTGGGTCTAGGAGAGCTTTTTGTGCCAGTATGCAGATAGTTGTTCTCGATGGGGCTGTGTTAGGGAATGAAACCGGTCAAGTGTTTAAAGTGTCAGTGGGTGGGCATTTTGCAGATGGTGACCATAACTCCATACATTTCAAAGCCCTTGTGGAAAGGGATAAGAGTAATGCTGAAGTGAAGTATCTAAACTGGGGAGGGCCAATTTCAATATCGTCAGACAGGATCTGGCAAACATAGACTGGGAGCAGCTACTTGCAGGTAAGTCTACGTTTGGACAATTGGGAATGTTTTAAAGATAGTGTTCCTCAACAGCACGGCAGCAAGTCCAGGGATGCCAAGAGTTTGATTTTTAAAAAAACAAAGGAAGTGTATATCTGGTACAGTGTATTAAAAACAGGCGAGGCCCTTCAAAAGGAAAGAGAGGTTGTCTCCTTTTTTGTTTTGGAAAAAAGAAGAGAAATTGGCAAGTAAAGTTTTGCCACAATATATTTGACAGAATTAAGGAAAACCCCCAAAGCATTTTGTAGGTATATTAAGAATGAGTATTACGAGGGAAAGAGTGGGGCCCATAGGAGACCAAAGAGGCAATCTGTGTGTGGGGACCTATTGGATGTAGGTGAGATATGACCAGGAGGGTGCTATGCTGTTCTGTGTTGCCTGGGATGAAAAGTCTTTGAGAGGAGACTGGGTTTGTTTTTGCTAGAGCAGAGGGGGCTGACAGGGGAACTGATTCGAGGTGTACAAAATTTAAGAGGCATAAACAGTAGATCATGAGAATCTCTTTTTCTCCCCCCGCCCCCCCCCCATTGAAGATGTATTTAAGATCAGAGGACAGAGGTTTAAGGTGAAGAGGAAGTGGAGATCTGAGGGGGGAAAAAATCTTTCATGTGGGATGGTAGAAATGTAGAATGTGTTGCCTGAGAGGGTATGGAGGCAGATACACTCACTACATTTTAAGCACCTAGGTGAGTAATTTAAAATGCCGGGGCATAGTAGGCTATGGGATTAGTGTTTGTTGATTAACAGATGTTTTGGGCCGCAGGACCTGTTTCTGACCTATCTTTGTTTTATTTCTTTGTTCCCTAGCATGGAATCTGCCGGCCTATTTGACAGTACTGATTGCCTTTTCAAATGTTGGCCCCTTATTGGTCACCCTTGCTCACAGGTTCTCCCCGGGCCTGCTGAATGAACGTTATCTTATCCACTCCATCCAAGCACTGGGTGTGATCTCCTCCGTTGCCTTAGCACTCACCTGGGATCGGACTGTGTTGGTTGGCAGAAAGCAGCACAGTGTGGCCTTCTTGACCCTGGCCTTCGCCTTAGCCTTGGTCTGCTGCACTTCCAATGTCACCTTCCTGCCCTTCATGTTCCGCCTCTCATCCAAGTACATCAGGACCTTCTTTGTAGGCCAGGGCTTCAGTGCTCTCTTCCCATGTGTGGCAGCCCTAGTGCAGGGTGTGGGCCAGTTGGAGTGTCGTAACAGCTCAGCTGCCAATGGCTCCCAATCCCTCCAGCCACACTACCTTAAGGAGAACTTCACAGCTAGTACCTTCTTCTGGCTTTTAGTGGGGCTAATGTCTATCTCCCTGTTGGCCTTTGCTGGACTGGCCCGAAAAAGCAACAACAAGCAGCCCACTACCCACGTCAACAAGGAATCGTGCCAACTGACCACGGAGAGTCAGCCAGCCCCCAAAACACCAGCTCCGTTCTGCACGGCCCGTAACGTCTACCTGCTCATCTTGCTGGCCGTCTCCAATGCTCTGACCAATGGGGTGCTGCCATCAATCCAGACCTACTCCTGCCTGCCCTATGGGAGCACCACCTTTCACCTGGCAGTGGTGCTTGGGAATCTCGCCAATCCATTGGCCTGCTTCGTTGCCATGTTTGCACTCGCAAGGTGAGATCATTTTAAACTACTATAGTATCTGCTTTCTGCATGCTGCATTTTTAATGTCATTATAGTCTCTTTGTGTATTCTTAAGTGCTTTTGCCTCCGTTATCAATCATCCTGCAACTTGTCCTATCACAGCATTCATGATGCTGAAAATCTCTTACATCTCCGGTGTTCTTTGACCAAGGAAGAATAGCCTCCTCGCCACATTCTCTCATTATAGAATCATACAGTATGGAAGTAGCCTTTCAATTCATCCGCGTACATACTAGTAAAGCTACACTAAACCTGCACTAGTTCCACTTTCCAGTACTCTGCCTGTAGCCTGATGACATTTCAGTGCTCATCAAAGTACCTTTTTTGTTTCCTTTTAAAAAGGTTGATATTTCCTGCCTCAGTTACCCTCCTACGCAGTGTTCCTGACCCCCACCACCCTCTAAGTGAAAATATTTTCCTCCAGACCACGTTTGGAGGATTGTTCAGTTCTGGGCAACTTATTAAAGATCCTTATTTAAACGCCTGGAGAGACTTCAAAAGAGATTTACTAGAATGATACTGGGAATGAAGAATTTTAGATACAAGGGAAAAATAGAGATTGGGCTTGGAGCAGAGAACAAAGAACAAAGAACCAAACAAAATTACAGCACAGGAAGAGGCCCTTCGGCCCTCAAGCCTGCGCTGATCCAGATCCTCTATCTAAACCTGTCACCTATTTTCCAAGGATCTGTATCCCTATGCTCCCTGCCCGTTCACGTACCTGTCTAGATACATCTTAAATGACGCTATCGTGCCCGCCTCTACCACTCCACTGGCAACGTGTTCCAGGCACCCACCACCCTCTGTGGAAAGAACTTTCCACGCATATCTCCCTTAAACTTTACGCCTGTCACCTTGAAATTGTGACCCCCTAGTAATTGAGTCCCCCACTCTTGAGGGGGCAGGGGGAGCTCTTGCTATCCACCCTGTCTATACCTCTCGTGATTTTGTAGACCTCAATCAGGTCCCCCCTCAACCTCTGTCTTTCTAATGTAAATAATCCTAATCTACTCCACCTCTCTTCATAGCTAGCGCCCCCCATACTAGGCAACATCCTGGTGAACCTCCTCTGCACCCTCTCCAAAGTATCCACATCCTTTTGGTAATGTGGCAACCAGAACTGTATGCAGTATTCCAAATGTGGCCGAACCAAAGTCCTATACGACTGTAACATGACCTGCCAACTCTTGTACTCAATACCCTGTCCGATGAATGAAAGCATGTCGTATGCCTTCTTGACCACTCTATCCACCTGGGTTGCCACCTTCAGGGTACAATGGACCTGAACACCCAGAACTGAGGTGACCTTTATTGAGGTGTTCAAAATTATGAACAATTTTGACAGGGTGTGTTTCCACTAGTTGGTACATCAGTAACTAGGGATAACAATTTCAAGATTGTCAGCAAGAGAGCTAGGATTGAAATGAGGAGAAACTTCTTTACTCGGGGTTGTTAGGACTTGGAATGCACTGCCTGGGAGGGCAGATTTCATAACCGGTTTCTAAAGAGAACTGGATATGTATTTGAAAGGGATGAATTTAGAGGGCTGTGGAGAAAGTTCCATTCTCCAGCCCTACCTGGGTAGCTGTTTTGGGAGCCATTACAGACATGATGGGGAAGCAATGGCCTAGTGGTGTTATCGCTGGACTGTTAATCTGGAGACTCAACATTCTGGGGACCCGGGTTTGAATCCTGCCACAGCAGATGGTGGAATTTGAATTCAGTAAGATATCTGGAATTAACAGTCTAATGATAACCATGAATTCATTGTCAATTGTCAGAAAAACCCCATCTGGTTCACTAATGTCCTCTTTTAGGGAAGGAAACTGCCATCCTTACCTGGTCTGGCCTACTTGTGACTCCAGACCCACAGCAATGTGGTTGACTCTTCACTGCCCTCTGGGCAATTAGGGATGGGCAATAAATGCTGCCTGGTCAGCGATGCCCTCATCCTGTGAATGAATAAAGGGGGGGAAAGGTCCTTCCTACAATATGGGGACCAGAACTGCGCACACTACTCCAAATGTTGCCTAACCAAAGTTTTCTCTACAGCTCGGACATAACCTCCCTGCTCTTTTTATAACCTTTTATACGCCTCTAACTACCCATAACCTTGGTTCATTCCTGTTAGAATTCTGATAAATACTGGCAACATTCTCCAGTTTACTGCAGCTCAGAACCTGTTCCCTTTAATTGTCCTTAACTTGCTCACCTAGCTCTATCTCTTTCACCCGTACTCCCCATGTCCCTGCTCTTTCCTTTTATTGCTGGTCAGGCATAAACTGATTGGGCCAAATGATGTGTTTCTAGTGTGAAGCTTTTGTGCTCTGTCTCTCTCATGCGCTTTTTTTTGAAAATACTGTTGCTTAGCCTGGTCAGTGCTACAGCAGAATATCACCTTCAATCTGTTCTTCATGCTGTTTGATTTTGTGCAGGTCCAGTATTGGACTTGGTGTCCTGGCATTTCTAGGGTTACTGTGTGGAGTCTACATTTTGACGTTGGCAGCATTCAGTCCATGTCCCCCGCTGCTTGGGAACTCGATGGGTGTTGTTTTAGTGGTGAGTATAGTGAAGGAAAATGACTAAACTCTGGGATCCCATTCACGCTATTGCTTAAACCACTAGCAGGATCCATGGAGATGCATGGCAGTGTTTTACTGCATAAGAACAGGCAACTGATCTCTATCTATTGCTCAACCTCCCATCCCTCCTTATCGAACTTTTTAACATGCCATTTTATTCTTTTTCTTTCATCTTTATATATTTTGAGGGAAAGCTCAATTAAACACATCTAGTTAATTAAAATAAAATGAAGGCTGGTTGACTGAGAGCTGAAACAGAGTGCTGGAGAAACTCCGGTCTGGCAGCATCTATGGAGAGAGAAACAATTTGCGTCTCGAGTGCAGTGAGCTGCTTACAGAACATCTGTTCACTTATTGTGGTGGTAATGCCACTGGATACACAATCCAAAAGGTCCAGGATCATGATCCAGGGTGTGGGTTCAAATCTCACTACTTGGGAGTTTTTATTCCGTTCACGAACCTGGAATGTATAACTAGTCTCAGTGATGGTGACCGTGACTACAACCGTGGATTGTCATCAAAACCCCTCATTTCCTGGAGGGAAGGACATTTACCATCCTTACCCAGTCTGCCCTGCACGTGACTCCAGACCCACAGCAATGTGGTTGAATCATAACCATCCTCTGAAATGGCCCAGCAAGTCCCTCGTTCTGAGGGCAGTTGGAAATGGGCAACAAATGCTGTCTGTCAGTGATGCTAACAATGCATGAAACGAAAAATTTACCACTCTTGGAAGTTTCTCCTGAATTTGAAACTGGCTTTGTTACTCACCTATTTATTGTCCCTAGGTCTAGTCTCTAAGGAGAAGCATATGTCTGTCTAACCATAATGTTGGAATGTCTGAGGAAATTAGCAACCAGCTTTACAGCCAGTGAAATGCTTTCAAAGTATGCTCCCAGGAAGTGCAGCAGCTAAGTTGCACAATGAGATAAATGGCTAGTTTGTGATATCAGCTGAGGGATCCATATTGGTCAATGTGCCAAGAGGATCAGATTTTGGGGGCATGTTGGTGTAATTGACATGTGGCTGTGATACTCCCCAATTTGCCATCTTTGTGGTTCTTTTCCAGGTGATTGCATGGATGCTGTTTACCGGCTTGTTCTCCTACCTGAAAGTGGTGATTGGCAGCATCCTCCATGAGGCAGGTCACCTCGCCCTGGTCTGGTGCGGAGCATCCATTCAGGTCGGCTCACTGATCGGTGCCTTGGTCATGTTCCCATTGGTTAGTGTCTACCAGCTCTTCACATCGGGGCAGGCGTGTGTGGATACCTGTGGGCAGTGACTGGCAGAGAAGACATCTTATCAGACTGAACCCAGAGGAAGCCTCCAAACCACAGCAAAGACTAATTGCACAGGCAAAGGAGCCTAGAGTGTATTGTGCTTGACAATGGATAACACAAGGATTTTAAACCCTGCTAGAAGGTGCTCTATCTCTTTGCAATTGGGCCTGGATTTCTCCTTCACCCATTCCATATCCCTCCCACTTAAATTTCATCTCCCAACACTCCTTTTATCCCTTTTTGGTCTGTATTCAGCACTGTTTTTATTTTATTCCAACCCTCTCTTTTCCCCAATCCACCTATGGGTTAATCGTCATTTTAAAAATTGAAGACTGTGATTGACTCTGACTCTGTATTGAGGCAGCACGGACTGGGGAATACTGGCTCTCCTATAAAAGGAGCTAGTCAGTATTTTAAATGCACAGCTGGGGATTGTTATCACTTTCTTTTGTTCTTCACTTCTCCATGCAAATGGTGAGGAATAAACAGCTATTTATGCTGCTGGAGTTGTGATTTTAAAGAAGAAACTGCAACAAAGTACAGGTTCCTCACGAGAATGCTGCAGTACAAAAAAGCATCAGTGTTGAAGCCTTGCTATTCTGTAAGCTAGCAGCTCCTCAGCTGGGCTTCATTTGCCCAGGACAGGCATTCCCGTTCCTGCTCCTGCCCACAGTTGGGTTCACTTTTTTCATGCTCCCTCTTCCATCTACATATGTGGACTTGGTGAGGGAAAATTGCAGCGTCCTGTGTAATGCACTCCACAGTTCATTAATTTCTTCAGAAACCTGGAAGCAGAAGCAACTGTATCTTGATGTGTTAGTATTGTCGGGCGAATTAAGGGGGTGGTTTAAAGGATAGGGTAAAGAAACAATAACTTAAAGTTTTCTTGTTCCTGAAGATTGTGTGGACCTTTTTCTTCTTTTAAATTTTAAAAGAAAAATAAATACATTTATTTCTCAATTCAAATCCCTATTTTTGGCTTCAGTATGTCCATTGAGTGTTTGAACATTTCATGTCTCCAGCTGGTTGCTGAAGTGACCTGGGTTCTTGATTCTGAAAGATATCTGCTGCTTCCCTCACTGCTTCTCCACGTTTGTTTCAAATTTCCAGCACCTGCAGTATTCTGATTTTATTACTTTTTTTTTTCCTGAGACTGAGTAAATTTTGTAGACTGGGATCATTGTCCCCAAACATTTATCTTGCACCTTCCTTCTCAATGAAACAATCTGAGCCCTCCTTTTGATCTCTATTAGTCAAATCACCCACACTTACTTGCACAAACACTAATGTTGGAGAAAGTCAGCAGGTCTGACAGCTTCTGTGGAGAGGAAAAACAGTTAATATTCCAAGTCCAACGTGATGATGCTTCGGAACTGAAAGATGTTAGATAATTGCTTTTTTAAAATACCTTTTTTTTAACAGAAGCGGAGGAGTGTCAGAGGGTGTAGAGGCCCAGTTCCAAAGACAGTGGGCTTATTTGTATTGAATCCCTACAGTCTGGAAGCAGGCCATTTTGCCCCATCGAGTCTACATTGACCATCTGAACAGCATCCCACCCATCCCCACCCCATGCTCGTGTCTCTAACCCTGCATTTCCCATGGCTAACCTATGTACCCTACATATCCCTGGACGCTATGGACAATTTAGCATGGCCAATCCACCCTAACCTGCACATCTTTGGACTGTGGAAGGACACCCATGCAGAGATTGTGCAAACTCCACACAGCTAGTCACCTGAGGCTGGAATCAGTCCCAGCCCCCTAGCCCTGTACAGTAGGAGTGAAAGTGATGTAAAATGAGTTGGGGGGTGGGAAGAATTAGCCCCTTCTGCTGAGAGTAAAGTAAACAGGAGAAGGGTGGGAGAGGGGATGTGGGGACAGAAAGGATGTAAGGAAAAATAGAGAACAGACATAATGCAATCAGTTTCTGAAGGTGAGGAATTCAACGCTGAGAGCTCTAGGCTGTAGAGTGCCTACCTGAACAGAAAATGTTATTCCTGGAGCTTGTGCTGTGGTTTGGAACATTGCAGCAGCCCAGGACAGAAATGTTAAAGTGCTTTCAGGCAGAATCTGGAACAGGTCACATGACTGTGTCTTCATTTTCTACAAATTTAAAGCTACAGACCCAAACTATCATTTCCCTATAAACCAGAAGATACAACACTTGTTCACTCTGCATTATTCACTGTTGCAATCAAACTCATGCACTTTCACACCCACCCCCTTCATCTCTCAAGGACTACAAATAAGTGATTAGTTTTGTTGTCTTTTCATTGAGTTAACAATTCAATTATTTTGTTTCTTTTCTTTTTTGGGTTGGAGAGTTTGAGCTATAGGGAGAGGGAGAGGCTGAGACTTCCTTTTCCCTGGAACGTCAGAGGCTGAGCTGTGACTTTATAGAAGTTTATGAAATCATGAGGGGCATAGACAGGGTGAATAGCCAAGCTGTTTTTCGCAGGGAGTCCAAAACTAGCGGGCATAGGTTCAAGATGAGAGGAGAAAAGATTTAAAAGGGACCTGAGGGGCAACACTTTCACACACAAGGTGTTGTGTGCATAGAACAAAGTGGTGGAGGCTGGTTCAATTACAACACTTAAAAGGCACTTGGATGAGTATATGGATAAGATGGGTTCAGAGAGATATGGGCCAAATGCTAGCAAATGGGACTAGATTAGTTTAGGATATCCGATTTAGTATGGATGAGTTAGACCGAAGTATCTGTTTCTATGCTGTATAACTCCAACGGTCTCCTTCTACCCATCTTTCTTTCCTGGTAGCTTTATATGTCTGTAAGGCCATAAATTGGGAGCAGAAACAAAGGAGCAGGAGTAGGCCATTCAGCCCTTCAAGCCTACTTTTCCCCCATATCTTTTAATTCCTTTAGCCTCAAGTGAAATAATCCATGTCCTTTCTTAGAGTAGACCATTTGGCCCATCAATTCAGCTCTGCTGTTCAATGAGATCATGACTGATCTGATAATCCTCAACTTAACTTTCCTGTTTTCTTTCCCCATCAACCGTTAATTCTGTTACTGACTTTAAAATATTTTCTTCTTTATCCATGTTCCTCTTTCATTCTGTTTGCCTATTCTCTGCTAGCTTTTCCATATCTTTCACTTGCAAATTTACTGCCATTACGTTTTTAAATAGAGAATTTCTGAATTTGGAATCAGTCTTCCAAATTCATACATTGTAGCAACAAACTTCCAATTTGATAACCAGCTAGAGTCTTATCCAAGTACCAGACAGTGGCAGTCTGCATGGATTTCAGAGCTAGACTTGGCTTGTTAGAATACTTTTGTGACCTTTCCTCCAATTCTTTCTTTGTATAAGTGCACAATCTGCCCTGGTTTACTGTCTCGCACTCTAGCAAGAACCTGCATTTTAAAGAACCTTTTTTTAACATAGTAAAACAGCAATGTTGTGTCAAAATTTGACACTCAATTGTGACAAACAACTGATCAAAAAGTTGGTTAAGGAAGTAAAACTCCATCCATCATATGCTCAGAAACAATGAATTACACTGTTACCATTTACAACTACTGGGTCACTAAAGCAGCTCACCTTCTGATGGAATAAGACAAGGTCCCAACTTGATAAGTGTTTTTTTTTTAAACAGTCACACAGCACAAGTGTCAGGCAATGACCACTTCAAATAAGATAGTCATATAGACCTACAGAAAAATGTCTTTTGGCCCATTGCATCCACCCTGATCTCTCACAACCACCTAATCATTATAATTCCATTTTCCAGCACTTGGTCTGTAGCCTTGTATGCCTAGTGTCAAATAAACATTAAGAAAGCCTTTCAGGGTGGCACAGTGGCTCAGTGGTTAGCACTGCTGCCTCACAGCACCAGGGACCTAGGTTCAATTCCACCCTTGGGCAACTGTCTGTGTGGAGTTTGCACATTCTCCCCGTGTCTGCATGGGTTTTCTCTGAGTTCTCCAGTTTCCTTCCACAGATGTACAGCTTAGGTGGATTAGCCATGCTAAATTGCCCATCATGTTCAGGGATAAGTGGGTTATAGGGGGAGGGGTCTGGGTGGGATGCTGTGAGGGTCGGTGTGGACTTGTTGCGCCGAGGGGCCTGTATTCACGCTGTTGGGATTCTAAAGCTTCTTAAATGTTATGGGAGTTTCTGCCTCTGTAGAAGGGAGTTCCAGATTCCACCACCCTCAGTGTGAATTTTTTTTTTTTCCTTTGCATCTCTACTAAACCTTCTGCTCCATACCTTTAAATCTCAGTTCAGATAGTCCCCCTCCAGTTCAGGTACAAATATTCTAGCGGGGAGATTTACCTAGTGCTACAAGGGAGGGGTTTATGCTAGATTGGTGGAGGGTGGGATCCTCAACAGCATGGAGACAAGTGCGAGGCTGGAAGGAGATACGTTAATCAGAAATAGCAAGTTGAAGAGACAGGTCAGGCTGGAACACAACAGGGAGTGAGGAATGTCTGTTGGATTAAATTGCATCTATTAAAATGCCAGAGGGCTGAGAGGTAAGGCCGATGAACTCAGGGTGTGGATAGGTACGTGGGCCTGGGATATTATAGCCATTACAGAAACATGGCTGAGGGAGGGACAGGACTGGCAGTTTAATGTGCCAGGGTACAAGTGCTTTAGACAGGACAGAGGTGGAGTAAAGAGGGGAGGGCAAGTTGCAGTTTTGATGAAGGGGAGTATCACAGCAGTAGTCAGAGATGAAATAACTGAGGGATCATCCAGTGAGGCTTCGTGGGTGCAGCTAAGAAATAAGGGGATGGTGACATTATTGGGGTTGTACTATAGGCCCCCAAATAGTCAACGGGAATTAGAAGAACAAATATGCAGGGAGACTGGGGAGACTCGTGGGAGCAATAGGGTTGTTATAGTGGGGGATTTTAATTTTCCTAACACAGACTGGGACTGTCATAGTGTTAAGGGCTCAGATGGAGTGAAATTTGTTAAATGTGTTCAGGGAAGTTTCCTTAAGCAGTATATAGAGGGCCCTACTTGAGAAGGGGCAAAACGAGACCTACTCTTGGGAAATAGGGCAGGACAGGTGACTGAGGTGACAGTTGGGGAGCACTTTGGGACCAGTGACCGTAGTTCTGTTAATTTTAAAAATAGTTATGGAAAGGGAAATTGTAGTGGCCCTGGCTGATATATTTACATCATCGTTACCCGTGGCTGAGGTCCCTGAAGACTGCAGGGTAGCGAACGTTGTGCCCTTGTTCAAGAAGGGCTGCAAAGAAAAACCTGGGAATTATAGACCAGTAAGCCTAACATCTGTGGTAGGTAAGTTACTTGAGAAGATTCTGAGGGATAAGATATGCATTTGAAAACACAAGATTTGATTAGGAGCAGTCAGCATAGCTTCCTACGTGGGAGATCACGCCTCAAAAATTTGTTAGAACTCTTTGATGAAGTAACCATGAAGGTTGATGACGGCAGGGCAGTAAATGTAGTCTATATGGATTTCAGTAAGGCCTTTAATAAGGTTTCACATGGTAGGCTGCTCTGGAAGGTTAGTTCACATGGAATCCAGGGAGAGCTGGCAAACTGGATACACAATTAGCTTGATGACGTTACCCAGCAGGATAATGAAATGTCTGCGAACTGACGAACCAACCACAGCATCCACAACCCAAGCTACAAATCTACTCAAGAACCATAAATAAGGATAGGAGTAGGTAGTTCAGCCCTTGAGCTTGATCTGCCATTCAATAGGACCACAGCTGACTCCCAACATTCCTCTCATCTACTGTCCTGCATTTTCCCCAATTTTCTTGAGTATTGATGAATCAGATACGTGGATGACACTTTCGTCATCATCAAACGGAGCAAACTAGAGGAGACACACCAACTAATAAACAACACTCTCACTGGCATCAAATTCACCAGAGAAGAGGAAAAGAATGAACAGCTCCGATTCCTGGACGTCATGGTAGAACGCAGGGGCAACGGGGAATTCCTGACGGAGGTATA